CCTAAGAAACGACTGTGCGTGGCGACCAAAAGACTTACGACCACACGAAATCCCTCTCTCCAACTTCTCCTCGCCCGTCCTGGAAAAAAACCAAAAATTTTTTTTTTAAAAGAAAACTTCCCGCGGAAACCAAAAACAAAAAGTGGGGCCCCCCGGTCCCCCCCGAAAGAAAGGTCCCCCGGGCTTTTGAATTTTTTTTTTTTTTTAGTTCCCCAGTTCCCCCCCCACAACTTTTTTGCCCTTTAAAAACAAAATTTTTGAAAACCCGTATGAATTCCGCCCATAAAATTTTTTGGGAAAAACGCAAACTAAACTTTCCCCCCCTAAAAACCTTTTTCCTGAGAAAAAAAAACAGAAATTAAACAAAAATAAAAAAATAACCCGATTTTCCTTTTTTTCCCAGCCCTTTCCATTATATTGAAAAAAAAAAAAAAAAAGCCTTTTTTCCTCAAAGAACAACGTGTCCCAAAAAAAAAAAAAATTAAAAAAAAAAACTTTTGGACCCTCTCTCTCTTCTCTCTTCTCTAATTTTCGCTCTTTTTTTTGGATTATTCTGAAAAAAGCTTTTTGCCTTTTTTTTTGGCTGGTTTGGTTTGCGCCCAAAATCGTGGGGGCGTTCTTTATTAACAATGCAAAAAAAGAATTTTTTGCGCTGGGGAATTTTCCCTGAATAAAAAACGAGTCTTTCTGCACAACACGAGTATTTTGATGATCACCAAAAGGCCGCTTGTGTTGATTGGCGCGCGCGCTCGGCTTCCACAAGCTTGCTAGGGAACAAGGTTTCCCCGAGAGCGCTCACTGAAAAAACCGTGTTTTCATTTTTTCTCTTTTAATTTTTCTATTTGGGGGCCCGGAAAGACAATACCTCATGAAACATAGTGAAATCCTCTCGAAAGGGAACAGAAACTCGCACAATGGAATAAGAAATAGCGCTTTGACAGGGTGATCACAAGATTGGTTCTCTGCAGAGGCACAAACGACTCACTCTGTTGACAGTTTAAAATTTTATTGGTTAATTTTATCCTCCAAAAAAAAAAAGTAAGGACACAAGAGACAGTCATAAGTAGATCCCCTCCACAAACGTAAACAAAACCCACAAGCCTACCTATTATTTCCGTCCACTTCAAAAAGGTGTACGTCCATGTTAATTAATACAATATAAAGCGCGAGCCTAAAAACTAAAGTACTTTTTGAGTCTTTGCTCCAGCAAATAAAATTTTGATTTTCTCAACTAGTGTGATTTATATTCTTTGTTGGTTTTTTTTACCTACAATGTGGGTGAAAAATTAATTTGAAAAGAGATTATTTGGGGGGGAGAGAGAGCAAAAGGATCTCCCGTAGTCACAGCTATTTTTATTTTATTTTATTATTTATAATATAAAAATAAGTTTTTAAAAATATAACTTCCAAATAGTGCAAAGCTTTTTCCTTTTTTTGGGGCTTTCGATGGGGTTCCCAAGTTTTCCCGCGCACTCAAGAAAACTAAAAAGATACTATTTTTCAAAAAAAGCGTGCCTTCGCGCCTCCCACAAAGCCAGCTGAGGGCTCCCCGATTCAGTTTTCCTTAAAAAACAATCAAAAAAGTTGGGGTTTTTTTTATTCAGTTTTTTCCCTTTTCCTTCTCAAGAATTGTCAGAGAGAGGTCTTTGGATGGTGCAATCCTGCGCGCCCTGGTTTTGCGAGAGAGAAGCATCCGAGAGAGAAAAGCGCCGTCTTTTTTTTTTTTTGATTAGTGTGTGGAGAGCTACTCGCGAAAAAAGGCAAATCCCCGGCGCAAAATATTAAAAGCCATCTAGCACTATTTCAAGGGCGCTGCAAAAAAAAATTTATGGGCCCCCCCCCTCTTTCCTGTTTGACAATTTTGAATACTCGCGTGTGATTCTATAAACTGGTGCCGGTTTCGATTTTTCCTGAGTCCCTTTTGCTTGATAATATATTTTTAGTCTCAGTTTCTCATCATCTTTGGCTTCATTCTAAGCACAAAAAAATCAAAAAAACAAAGCGTAGAAATAGATAACAAAGACTTAAAACAATACATGATCAAAAGACACATTTATAATTTTACAAAAATCTAACTTCTCATAACTGAAATAAACATAAAAATAGATCCTTGATTTTTGGGTCTCTTTTCAGTCCTTTCATATGTAGCTCTCATGACTATCTTATATATACTAATAAATGATATACACTCTTCGCAATAGAGCCTCGATGCTTGTCTCATATCCCCTGTTATAACGCTACAAACTTGCGTCCAAATCCGCGTATCTATGTCTATTTTAGCTGGGATCTTGAACGGTTTTTGCAGTCTTGGAGCAGTCTGTTTGTTCCTTCTTTTGTCTGGAGTTTGACGTCTATCTCATTTATTATTTTGTAATTTCGTTTGATCTTTGCTATGTTATCAGTATATGCCTCAAAAAAACCCTAAATTGAAAAAAAGACGAATGCTTCTTTTCTTCACACTAATCGCTGTGAAAAGTGTCTGTTTGGACGAAACATTGTCTATCACTTTGTGTTTTTATCTACACTAGATCGGAGAGTTTTGGACTGAGAATACATACTCTGCGGTTCAGATTATATATTTCTGCGCCCTTCGTGTTCAAATGGGATATCATATTTTTTTTTGTCATGAATTTTGCAATTTTAAAACTTTCTCTTAGTCTTCAATATCAACGTGTAATATGACCGGGAAGGAGTTTGTGCGGTGCGAGGCAAAAACCTTTTTTTTGTCTTTCCACGTCATCAATGGGACATGCGAGCTAGTCTCTGCTTCGTGTTCCAAAATGTCTTATTTTTCTACAACTACCTGCATCATCCGAAGAGCCGCGACAAGTGCCTTGTTCATTTCTTGTCGGAAACCGTATATTTCTGCTTTTAAAAAAACATGTTTTACTAAAAATCACACGTCCTCATTACAAAATGTACTTGACTCTGCCTTTTCAGCACTTCTATCCTTTGTTTTTGATTTGTGCTTAGTACTGAAAGCTTTCTGTTTGTATAAGGAAAAACAAGCAAACCTTCCCTCGTTTAACTTGCAGACTACGAATAGGCTGCATTAGGTTTTTCTCAATATGCCTAGGACTTCCTCTTTCAGCGCATTCGCTATAAATTCAATATAATAATTTTGCGCAACACGAGTATCTATAGCGAGGGTAGAGCAAAATCGAACCTCATAAAAAAAACCAAATCTGAAGAAACGAGTAAGAAAATTTACTAGTGTATCACACATAGAATGGTGTTGCACAAGTAAATGCTTAAATATTCTTAATATTTCATATAGTCTGATTTGATTGTTCCCTATTCGCATCAATGTTGGTACATTCTATATTATGTTGATATGGTGGAAGAAAGCGAAACTCCTAATCACCCTCCTCTAGAGTCGGCGGAAGTCCTGGGCGGGTCAACTTAGCAGCTTCTCTCTCTTCGGATTGGTTGGTTGAATATATTTGCGTTTGATATTTTAATCTGTCTCTTCTCTGTTGTTTTTGTCAATAATGGTATAGTAGAAGTACAAACGCATTCCAACCTTGGGTAATACAAAAAGTTGGGTTGTTGAGAGAGCTATTATATTCAAATCTAAGCGAAAAAGAGGCTTAATCGAGGATTTTTTAATATATACATCATCATATTCATACCACCCCGAGGCATATCTCTTGGATAAAACAAGTCATAGTGATACCCTGTGTATCAAAAGCTCATATATTTCTTTAAATTATATTCATCTTATTTTAATTTGGATTTTTTACACCAACATTACTACACCCCTCTTTTTCCATATCTCCGTTTAATTATAATTCAATGTATATAGAAACCTCAGTCTAACCTCTTAATCTCCTATTATAATTTTACCATGACCGAAACACACACTGCTATTGTCATTCTTATTGTATCTTGGTTTTGTTGTGGTATTTTTGACCTTTTTTTTTTTTTATACTTGAAAATACAAAGAAAATAGTGTGACTATCAAGCATGTTTTGTTTCATACTGTACTTTGAGGGTTCTCTATTCAAACTTGTTAGCTCCGTTATATATGTGTGGTGGTTAGACTTTTTTATTACCTCCTCTAGGGGCCGGGGGCAGCCTCCCCGGGAATTTTTTTTTAAACTGTTGAAGTCAAAAGATCATCTGGTGACTTTGAGAGCAACATTAGGAGATCTATGGATACAGTCTCTCACACCCATATGAAAGAACGTAAGCAATTTATTGTTCTTTATGGCATATTTTACAATCACTCCCCTTTCAACTGTATAATGTTTATTAAGACAACTTTTTATTACTGTCATATAGTATTTTATACCGGTTTACTTTACTCCCTTATTTTTTTTATAACTATAATGATCATATAAAGATGTGCCTTAACCTCACTGGTTGTAAAAAAAAGCTTCTTATATTTGTTAGCATAGCTAGCTAACCAGATGCTAATAACAACAAAGTTATTGACTGTATGATCAGTATGACAGATGAACAGATCGCGACTGGGCTTTCAACTAAAGACACAGCCACGCAAAAACTGCGGCATGTGTCCGGCTCCTTATGGGTACTGCAATTTCTGGAAGTGCCGGAGTGGCGTTCTGGTGTTCTCTCTCAGAACTGCACCCCTATCAGACGAGACGGACGAGACATATACCACGTGATGACACGTTAGGCTCGTGATGTGTTCATGGACCCTGACCTTGGCTAGGAAAAACAGGCACTCACTTGTTTCATTCTTTTGCGGTCTAGATTTTTCAATTTTTTTTCTTTTTTGCATGTGTTTATAAATTACCTCGAGGGCCGTACCAAATTGTCTCGCGGGCCGTCTACGGCCCGGGGGCCGGAGGTTCCCCACCCCTGACTTAAACAAAGGACCAAAACCCCTAAGCATACATCTCAAGACTTTTTTTCCGTTTGTCCCCACTTTCACCCACACTTACTTCATCACTGAGAAGACGCTTGCTCATCTGAAATGTGCACTCCCAACCTTCTGGAACAATGATTTCAAATAGGATGCCCAAATAGTTTGGAGCCAGACCTTGAGCGTTTAATCTACAGAGAGCTGCTTCACCTCCCAGATTGAGACCGCACAGCCGTTATACATCAACTGTGACTCGAGGAGCTGTTTAACCGTTTCCCTCTGAATTCCACCAGGGACCGGATGAAGCTGCCTTACATGGCCGACCAGTGCGAGCAGATGCTGAAGATCTCCAGCGAGTTCGTCCGCCTGCAGGTTTCCCACGACGAGTATTTGTGCATGAAGGTGCTGCTGCTGCTCAGCACAGGTACGACTTTTCACCTTCGTGCAGCTTCTTCCACCATCTTTAAGGCTTTTATTCTCATTCGTAAATAGCTACAGTGTAGATACGTACATGAAAACCTTAGGTCACAGGCTCCTCCAACAGTGCAACACAATACAACAGATAAAATAGTTCAAGTAAATACAAATAAAATAGAATAGAAATAGTACAGAATGAACTGTGTTAATTCAATCATTATAAAACGTATTCCTCCAATCTAATACTGTCTCCATAGCTGGAAGACGTTGATGTATGCACAGGACAAACATCAGTCTCTAACGACTCACTGACTGACGTGCAGGTATCGTAAAGAACAACTGAATCTTCTCAGGGCTCGCTCTGATGTACTAAAACACACACCTAATTTCACCACGAGTACATCACTGCTCCTCGTGTTATCTCTAAGGTCATCTAGAGCAGGGAAATTAAAGATGTAAACAAAAACTCAATAATTAAAGAGATTAAAAACCAATTTAATACGATAATTAGCCCCGCCGAAAGTTAACGCAGCCGTCCTGAGGGTGCTTTTGTTCTGGCAGCTGTCAGCGCTCTGCTGCTGAATATCACTGGGAGGAGTGCAGCGTGAAAATGACCCGATGCATTTTAATCAGCTGCCCTTTGCCGCCCTTCACTGCCCCGACGTGATCACTTCAAGTTTGAAGAATGTCCCACTTCCTCTGCAATTTACCGAACATTGTCCTTATCTGTGTCCCAGATGTTGACCTTTCAGTTTCCCCCCCTCTCTCCCGCAGTGCCAAAGGACGGCTTGAAGAGCCAGGCGGTGTTCGACGATATTCGGATGTCGTACATTAAGGAGCTGGGGAAAGCCATCGTGAAGCGCGAGGAGAACTCCAGCCAGAACTGGCAGCGGTTCTACCAGCTCACCAAGCTGCTGGACTCCATGCACGAGGTACAGGGGGCAAAAACACATCAGGAAGCCATGTTATCATGTTTTTAATCACTGAACAGTGATTCACCGTCTGTGCTCGATTCGGTTCTGTTAGTTTGAATCATTTACATGGTTCTAAGTGACCTTGACTTGCAGTATCTGTAAGTCGAGGATCTCTGTGCATGTGCTTTCTGGGAAAGCAGTCCTTCATTTATACACACAGTTTTAATGTTACTCTGATTTATAAAAGGCTTTAGATCAGTGGTTCCCAACCGGGGGCACAGGGACCCCTAGGGGTGCTGGAGGGGGTTGCAGGGGGTACGTAGAAAGATTAGGGATTGCAATATATTTCCACACTTAAAAACATTTTAAAATAAATGTTCATAAGCCTGCTGTCCTGCCCCCAGAACTATCAAAGCTTATGGAAGACAAGTGTCTCATTACAAGCTCTAGTCTTAATCAAAGATGTTGAGCTGCTAGAAGTCTTAATGTTATTATTCTTCACTGACAGTAAGTGTAAATGTAGAGGTTGAAATGTATTTGTATTAAGGTTGATTTATACAAGTGATTGGGACCACTGCTCTAGATCAGGGGTTCCCAAAGTGACCCGAGGGGGGGTCGCGAGATGATTAAAAAACTTTTTTTTTTTTATTAAATATAAAACAATTATTATTTTTAATTATTATTAATATGTTTCCCACATAATTTGCTTCTATTTGTAGGGGCANATCTAAAGTTTTTACAGATGGGATTTTGGATATCTCTTTTTATTAAATCAGAAAATACAAATTTTTGCCATGTTTTTAGGTATAACATGGTATATCATTCAGGCTATGACTGATATATGAACAAACCCTTTTGTAAAAACCTTCAGAATATTGATAGGAATATAACTGGAAGGTTTTTCTCCCGCTGTTCTTTTGCCATTTTGAGATTTAAATAAAATAAATAAAGTGTTTTAGCACACCACGTGACGCATCTGAACGAATCACGTTGACAGAAATTGACACCAGCCAATGAGATTTAGTTTTTTGGTTTAAGACCCCTTTGTACTTTCACGGTTGGTTGCTGATACAAAGGAAATGACCATATTTGGATCCGATGAGATTGTGGAGAGACGGAGCCTTCCAACGATACCTCTGATGACATGGTGCAAACAGTGGTTTGACGCAAATAGACAAACTATAGTAAAATAGACAACTAAATGTGTATTTTGTACATTTTCCTTCCAAATGCCTGAAAGAAAACATGTTATGGAATCAAAATATCAAAATTGACCAGTGCATTAAAAACGATGTTTTTGCCTGCTGTGTCTCGCTTTAATGAGTGAGACACACCGGAGTTGAGGGTCTGTGGGGTTTGTATGTCGATGTATGAGAAACACTGTTATTTGTATTACTATTATTAATAATAACGTGTGCATAGACATTCCCCCCTGTTGACAATTCATGTGGCGGGGGGTCAGTTATTTTGGGGGTCGCGGGCTGAAAGGTGTGGGAACCCCTGCTCTAGATGATGGTTGTATTTGGTAAGCACGATCTATCGAGGGAGAGATCAGATAGATTGGATGCCAATATCAAGATCCCTTTTTTTCTCAATGCCAAATGCTGAATGTGTCTTTGTGTGAATCCTCCAACCCCCTCCCCTCCTCTGTGTGTGTGTCTGCAGATGGTTGGTGGGCTGCTGAGCTTCTGCTTCTACACCTTTGTGAATAAATCCCTGAGCGTGGAGTTCCCGGAGATGCTCGCCGAGATCATCAGCAACCAGCTACCAAAATTCAAGGCCGGGAGCGTCAAACCTCTCCTCTTCCATCAGAGATGATGGAAGAGGAGAGGCCCCGTGACGGACACAATGCCTTAAACCCCCCCCCCCNCCCCCCTCTTCCACATCATCTCCTCACCGATCCCAACCCCCCCACCCCGAAGAGCGACGATGTACGGACCGAGGATCCAAGGCGAGGAGTGAATGATGTCTGTGGGAGGGAGTATGCAACTTTGTGTAGAGTGTAGGAACCAGAGGTGTGTTTAGAGATTATCACAAAGAGATAAAAGGTTACATCCATGTCGTCTCAGGTTTCATCCCGTCAAACAGAACCATAGCGACGATAGATCAAATAAATATCTATGTATAGGTTCTGATAGTATTTTCTACATTTTCAAATTGTAACAGTTTATACAGTTTTCCAGATCGTTGTTACCTGGGAAGGGGCGAAGCTTAATTAACAACATGCTCTTACGTAGGCTCTTAGACTGTGAGCTCCTCTTTAAGTTGTTAGAGGAGTCGGTAACACAATGTTTATCAGTCATGGGGAGAAACTCTGAAAAGCATTGCTTTTATTGATACCTTGGACAAAAGAAACAATCTGTTGGATTGTTGTTAGACGATTCCTCCCACAGGCCGACCTCCTCCAGGTTTACACACGTCTTTACAAAAGGGAAATAATATGTGCCTTTTTGCTTCATATATCATCCTAGCCATGTCCTCTTCCTGCTCAGCCCACCATGGTATACCTTCATCGTATGCTGATTGTACTTTTTATGTTACATGCCGTTTCCTTTTTTATTAAACGGCTGTGTTTATCTTAAGAAGTGGCTGCTTGGCCCACCCTCCGTGTGTAGAAATGATCCTTATCTTTAAGAAATAATATTTGAAGCCTGCTTCCTTCTGCCGCACACTCAACTCCTTAACTGTGTTTTGAGCACTTTGCACCCAGCTTAAGGCTTTAAAAGACTGTGAAGAAAGACTGTTCTGCTGAATCAGTCTTTACTATATAACTTTAGATGGAAGTTATACAACTTTTTCTATAGGAAATAGCCGGCTTTCATATTTATGTTAGCCCCCCCTCGTGCCCCAGAAGTCTAATTATGGAATGTGTTAGATACTTGCGTCTGTCAATCAGAGAAGGGAGGGCGTGTTTTATTGTGTTTGCAAGATTATGTCATTTTTTATTAATCAGCAAACTCATTTCTGTGGTTCTAATGTTGCTTAAACTGGTTGGGAAATAGCCGTCGTTCATTTTTAAACGTCTTTTTATAGTTTTTTTTAAACTGACCGACCTGCAGTCATATTTCTGCCACTGATGATCCTTCTGCGACAGTATATCCACGCTTGCAATGAGCATCTGACTTTGGATATTTCATTATTAAAAGCCTTTGCATTGTTGCTTTGCTATTTTGTGAAAGGAATAGTTTGACATGAGTTGAAAAGCATTAATTTGATTTATTGTAGAGGAGATTAATGCCGTAGATATGTTGCTGGAGTCACCAGTTAGCTTAGCTTAGCATAAAGACTGGAAGTGAATAAACCGCTGGCCTGGCTCGGGCTAAGGAAGATGGTCGGACACTTAACCGCTATCAAAAAAATAAAAGTATTTTAGTTTTTGTATTGATTTACCAAACAACATAATATGTGTATACATGGTTGCGTATTCTTAAACAAACCCACGCTAGCTGTTTCCAGTTGTTATGCTAAGCTAAATAGCTCCTGGCTGTAACGTCATTAAACGGTCAGTCTTACCTGCGATAAAATTTAAAAAGAGCAAATGTTGAACTATTCCTTTAAACTGGCTTGTGTGCCAGGTTGCTTTATGGATCAGGCGTTGGCAGATTCATCCCCCTGTGAACCTCCTTGACCTTTGACCCCTCCTGTTTAAGCCTTCTGCTCTTCTAACGCCCGGTAGGCACCTTGTGTTAATGTCTGTGCGTCCACATGCTTACCCGTCTGTCTGTTAGCCAGTGGAGCCCCCATGTTTGAAAGCACTAAGCCTCAGTCACCTCATAGAGTCGTGTCCCAGTGAAAGTGTAGCGTCACTGACCGGGAGGCTGGCAGGATCGATCCTTTTTATTCTCTGGGAACTTTTTCAGTGCCAAACACCTGTTTTGTCTGTCTTTAAGTGATGCCGGAAGTTGGTCAGTGTTTGCATCGAAAGCAGGAAACGAGTCCCAGTATTGAAGCTTATACTTAAGTTTGAAATGTATGAGCTTCTGTGATTGAGGTCGTCATTGATGAGCGATTACTTTTTGTTTGTGATACAAGGCACTCGGATGTGTTTTGAAATCACACAGAATACCGTAGGTCTGTCATTACCCCTTTCTTTGTGTGTTGTGTAAGTGGGTGGGAGTTTTAACCCATTTTAATCAGATCAGTTTGTCATGTTGTGTGTTTAAAGCACAGAAATAATCCAGGTTTTGACATGAATGTTGGCCCTAAAGGGGATTTATTTGAATTGTAAACAAAATGCTCTTGACAGTTTAAAAGAATTGGACACATAGGTCAATTGAGCGACTACAGAGTGCTCACTTAAGAATGGAAAATGTCAAATAGTTTTTGCTGTTGCTAGATTATCTCAACAACAAACAAGAAAGCAGTCATTATAAATGTTGAACCGCTTCCCATGCTCAGGTTGTTGAAATGATTCTCACGGTGCGTGGTTGTCCATGTTTTATGTCCTGACTTCAAGAACCAAAAAGAGTGTGTCTGCATCCCAAAATGTTTCTGCTTCTGTGATTTAGGGTGTGTGTGTTTATGTTTTTGTCAGGATTGCAAACGTTTTAAGAAGGTGCTGCCACCATCTCTTTCATACTTCGCCTCAGAAACATATACTAGTTATTTTTCTTTCAGATGTTTATTCAAAACCATGTTCATTAACTGCATAGTGATTACTCATGGGTTACTTTCACATTCAGTGAATCCAAAACTGCTGCTGCTCATTTTAACAGGATTATATATAATATGTATATCGCACACTTGCCTCATAGCTCAAATGTATTCTTATTTACTTTTTAGTACATTGTTGAGGAGGACAACTGAATATGCAATAGAAATGACAGCTCATCTGTCATGATCACATTACAAAATATGGTCACTTCCTCTTTTTTTCCCAGTATAAGCTATTTGCATACAGGAGATTTACATTTAACAATATCTCTGCAGGTCAGATTTTCAGGAAATAATACACTTTGTCAATAATAAGTCTACACGGACTGAACACAAAGCCTATTTTTTGTTTGACTACAAGGTGACCAAAGCAAACACAGACAAATTCAACACGTGTCGGTTTAAACTATGTAGCTACTAGAAAACAAATGTAAAGTTCGTTGTTTGTTTTTTTTAAACACATCTTTTTACTCTTACGTGACAGCTTTGGTCAAATTGTGTAATACTGTGAATAGGATAGGATTCAGTCTTTTCACACAAACTGTTTGTGAAAGTAATCAACCAGCGTGAATCTAAAAAAAGAAATTTGCACTACCCAAATATTGTTTGAAAATCTATTTTGTATAAAGCATATGCAGACATTTCTGAAATATCAAGGGCCGAACATGTTTCACTGGTATATGCTTTCTCTAAAAATAAACTTTGTTCTGCTTAAAAATTTGAATTTGTACATATAATCCATTGTAAAGAACGTGGTGTATTTGTCTCCAAATAATAGTTTTTCTATACCAACCCCTCTGTATTATTTCTCCTGTAGTGTGTCTCCTGTTGATCTTGTCCTCCATTGATTAAAGGTCAAACTGTACGTCTGTGTGTGGTGCTTCTCTATACAAGCCTATACATCCACTTGTCATACTTCTGTTGCTACAGTACGCACTTGTTCATCAAATAAAAATACACTTTTGACAACTGGTTCATAATCGTTTGAATTGACAAACCTAAATGTATACTGTCGCTGGGTCACACGATATTTAAGCTGTTCAAGATTTCAAATAAACTGCACATTTTTTCATTTGTTAAAAATATTCCTATAAAATAAAATCTGGAATAAAATCCAATAAACCCTTACTTTTCCATTTAACAATGCTGCATTGCCTTTGAGTCGTTAAGTCACATGATATGTAGGCCAACAGCTGACTTTTAACAGGTGTTCTACTTGTCCACTGTAGTAATACAATGCTGCATTTGCTATCACCAGGTCGCACGACGTGGTGAAAACCAAGACTTTGGGACTAATACAAAAGATAATGTAGGCCATTGTTTAAAGTTGGATGCATTTGTATGTAATAATGCTCAGGAAAGAGTTCCCTTTGGTACAATAATGTACATGTTACCCAATTAAGTATCTATTAAAGAAAGTAACATAACTAAACTTTCAGTGCCAGCGATCACACTAAATCATCACGGTTGTATGGGGACCGGACTCGGGCACGCGCACCCCGCTGCCTCTACGCTCGCTCACGTGCATGTAAACACCTGACCGCTGCAGGGGAGCGAGCCCGCTGATTCTTCTCACAGAAACACAAACTTCTGCAGATCCTCCCTGTTGATTCCTCAGCTGTGTTAGCTATGAGCGGGATGGCGGAGGAGGACATGTTTGTATCGGAGGAAGAGCAGGCGGTGGACTGCAGGCGGCTAACCCGGCTGTACTGCATGAATGGCGGACATCACTTGCAGATCCTCCCCGAGGGGAATGTGCAGGGCCAGAGGGAGGACGGGGACGCGCATAGTAAGACTGCAGCGCACTGTACATGCAGGGCAGGGCTGCACCATGATGCATGTACTTCCTTTAAGTGCATATAATAAAGTCCTTTAAGGAGAAAATGTGAAAGAAATGTCACACTTCAAAGGGCTACCTACTGCCCCGTAATGGTTTGAAGAAGCAACATCCCAGTAGCTTGTATGGAAGCCCATTTCCGCCAATGTAATAAAAAATAACATGCAAGTCATTATAATCAAAAACCTTCCCACATATGGATGAGGCTTTTAGACTTTATTCAGTTTTTGCAACTTGTGCTTTTTAAATCTTCATTGTTTCTATGTGCCTATATGTGACCTCAAAATCAGTAAAAACGTAAAAACCGAGCCATTAAAACCTTTTTCTGGCACCAATCCTTCCCCTACCCCTTACTCATTATATTTAACTCCTACTTGTTAAACATAATTATATGTATTTTTTACAGTACCATTGTGTGATATTACATTTCTACCCATCTCTATTATATTTTTCATATACCTTATATGTGTATTACATTTATGCTATACCTTATGGAAATGTTAACATCTTATAGCAATATCTTCTCTATCTATCTCGTGATAATGTATTTGTTTATATTGCAATATGTATCAAAATCTGTGGGTCCATATTTTGCTCTTTTTTGTTTTTAAATGTAATTTTGATGAAGTGTCCATGAGTCGGTGCCATTTTGTGACCCTTGTTTTTTGAGGCGTGTTCATGGAGTTCAGCTGTTGCCATATTATAGTTTTTCTTTTTCTTTTTTAACTTGTTCTCCTTTCAGTTGTTTTGAAGCTCAAAGCTGTGGACAGAGGTGTGGTGGTCATCCAAGGAACAGAAGCCGGGAGATATTTGGCCATGAGCGACGAGGGCAGATTGTACAGCTCAGTGAGTATCTGCAATAAACCTGATGATGTCATGATAACATATTAAGGCAAATTATGCATACTTAGATGCTTCTTCCAAGCTATCTTTTGTAAATGATAAATTTGTCCTTGGTCTGTGCATTTTTAAACATTCAATCTCAAGCCCAACTATTTAGATCCCAGTGAATACTGTCAGCTGTTTTTGTGTTTATCTCTCAGCCCACAGTCACTGATGAGTGTTATTTCCTGGAGAAGTTGGAGGAGAACCACTACAACACATACATGCCTCAGAAATATCAGGACAGGAAATGGTATGTCGGGCTGAAAAAGAACGGCAAACCTAAACTGGGTTCAAGAACTCACATCGGCCAGAAGGCCATCTTCTTTCTGCCCCGGCAGCTGTGTGACTGAGCGAAGACACTCAACACACACTGCAACTCAGCCTGAACCAATGTGAAGCGGCACCAGAGGAGGCTTTAGTTCATCAACATCCACCATTTGAGTTCACTAACAGCGCCAGACCTGAAGGAGTGGTGTGGGAATGGTTGATGAGAACAACTAAGAAGTCAAGCTCAAAAGGAGACGAAGCTGCAACGTCTTTTAATGTTAATGTTATGCAATACTAACCAGCTAAAGCTAAAAGACTGCATGTTGTCATATTTTTTCCACTTAAAAAAGTTCATTTTTAGTTGGCAGCAGGGCAAAGAGCAAACAGTAATAATCAACCAGTATGAAATCACTGATTAAAGCTGAATGTGTGGTTCTCAAAGTGAGCAGCATTTGAAAATGTTAAATGGGATGGGAAAAACACTAAGCAATAATATTCCATATGCATTGCAATACTCGTAAATGATGTCCCGCCACACACTACATTTTATATAATATAGTAATATTATATAAAATTAATTAAATATATATATATATATATGTTTTATTATTATAAATGTCAAATGTTCTCATTAACTATTGCACTTACTTTAAAGGAACATTATTGTAACCCATTGATTGGGAATGTTGTTAGATTTTTGGAAGTCATGCTATGAATGTATTTTTTTTAAACTATCTGCTTACTGTCTGGGAACATATTCTCAATCTTCAGATATCTATATCTATTTATCAGTGTCTTATTATGCACATGTACATCATGTCTTGTGATTGAACTGTTTTATAAATAAACTACTAACAATGTGCTTTGCTTCCTCACTAATTTACATGTTTCTGCATCAACCCTTTGGGATTAGAAAAGGAAAACTATCAATTGAAAAGGTGTCACAAAGAAATATGAAACACTTGTTTTCACCAATGACCTGAATAAAAGTAGGTGACAGTGTTAGGAGTTATTTTATTAATCAAATAAGTATGCAAACATAACTAATAACCTACCATAGCCAATAACAAATAAATGTAACATATTTTATTTTTGTTGTTCATTTATAACTTATTTTACCTAGTTAACATTTATTTATCCATATTTTTTAATCTCTCCAGTGTTAAAGGATATTTTTGGTTTACTGTCTATAGTATACATTGGAATGATTTCAAACCTGTTTTTATTTATCCTAATAATTATAAAGGTGTGCCNTGGAAATATTTGTTTACATAAATTGTGATAAAACCGTTTGAGACCCACTGAGATAGAAGTGAACTGTCTAAACCCTCAGTCCTTTCCCTCACTGAGCCTCTCAGGGCAAATGGAAAATGTAACCGGGGTGAAAAGGGTGTTATCTTTAGTTAATTATGA